TCTTCTGGCAAAAGCTTTTTCCATAACAAACGATTTTTTGTTTTAGTATTTTGATTTCTTTTATTTTATAAAAATTTTGCAAAAATTCTTTTCTTCTTTTGGTCTGTTGATATGCGGAAGACGTGCAATTAGTCACATATTAGGCGTATGTGTGTGGTGTGTTTTTCTTGTAAAATGTAACATAAAACAAACTCAGGGAAAGAATAAACAATTGAAGGTCAGAGAACGGAGAGAGAAGAAGACAGTGGTGGCAACTCTGGTGCTGTTTCAAAGCCAGCATTCCGTTCCGTTCGTGGTTTGTTTAAGGTCGATTGTTAGTGGGTTTAAGTGTGGGTCTGTTTTGGTGGCTAATTAATAATATTTAATCGCATGCAATTAAGCTATAATTAAAATTATGAAAAAGCTGCCGAGTTCGTGTTGGGTTAGTATTTGTTAGTATTTCGCCAAATGAGTATCAAAAAGTAGTACGGGAAATCAAATTGGATTTGGTGTACCAAAGCAAAGGTTTATGAAGTGATCGCTTTGGGCCTTTTGCATTTCGATTGTTTTCTGTACAGGTATTGATTGCCAGGGCTTAATAATAGTTGTTTAACTAAATTTAACCACATATCAAGCGTGAGCTATTAACAAAAGCTTTAAGTAAAAATACAAATAAAAAGTAAAACTGCCACAAGCAAAAAAAAAAAACTATAGGGGAACTACAACATATAAAACTATTTATAAATAATTAATTACAAAATAGAAATAGAAGGGAATGCAGAACTTACCTCATCTTCGCGCTTACGCAAATCGGTTTGGACCTCTTCGAGTTCCTCCTGAGCATCGGTTGGTTTCATTTTGTAGCCATCGTACAGCATTTTCAAGCCGAATATTAAAAATAATGCAGTTGAGATATAATACGTGTAAATCTGTCACGAAAAAAGAGAACTAAATGTTCAAGCTGTTCCTTCTGTAATCCTTTAGGATTCCTACCTTAGGAATAAAGTTTGCTGCCATGCCAAATACGCAGGAGAGAACCGTCATAAGGGCCAAGGCGGCAATGGCACCGCCAAAGACAATCAAACGGGGATGTCGCATTGCCATTATGGCAGCAATAAAGAAAGTCTTATCGCCTAGCTCTGTTAACAAAATAACAGATATCGATGCTGTGAAAGCATCGACAAAGTTCCCCTTGCCCTTGGCCTGCTTATGATCCGTATCTGTGGGTTTATCTGGTAATGCACTTAGATCCGTTGCCGCTCTATTCCCAACCACTTGATCCTCCACTCCCTGAAAATAAATAAAAGATAAATAAGTGCATGAACTTCAATTGAATGGATCAATGGACTCACGCTCTGTATGCCCGATTGTACGACCACATTGTCCTCGTTTTCATGTTGAAATTCTGCCGCACATATCGTGGCGAATGTGAGGACCACCATCAGGGCCAATGCCATATGCCATTTGGCGGTACGCTTCAGGTATACATTGTGTCTGGTGGTTTGCCAGAAATAGGATTGATTTTGTGACATCTTGGTGCTGTCTGTCCTGTTTGCTGTGCCCGCTCTTCAAGCCAGCCGCATGCAGTTGGTGTATTGGTATTCTACTCTGGGATATCCTTGGTAACGACGTGGTATGACGTGGTCCGTATCGTCTGACCGACTGTAAAGGAATGAATGAAGTTCGGTTCGTTAATCAGGCAACAAGTGTTCGCAGCGGCGTTATTTGTATATGGCAAACAGCATAAAGAAAAATTCCCTGTATGTGTGTGTGTATGTCTGTGCTTGGCCAAGTAAAATCTCGGGCTCGATAGCAGGCGAATGTCAGGCCAGAGATAAGAGTCCGCAGCCACTGCGACAAGTGTCGTCTGATATGGTCAACCCAGAAAGTGGATTCCATAGGCCGGCAAGCAGGCAGGCAGACTCCTATTTGGTAATAACATAAAATCTGCTATGAGCAGGCCGCCCGAATGGTCATTCAATACGTCAGAGGGGTACAGCCAGCAGCAGCGGCACTTCAATCATCGATTAGATAATGTTTTTGTGGGGCGGTGATGTACGTTCACCCAGAACACCAAATACTCTGCGGGGGGGGTAAGTCTACACTTTGAGATTTATCTCTGGCAAATCTCTGGCATGTTGGAGTCACAAATATTTAACTTCGTCTTGCCTTAGTTGGCATTTTGTTATCTTTTAAATTAACCTCCAAACATAAGGACTAAACAAAGATGATATTCTAACCGAAAAGCTGAAACACTGAGCGTGTGCAAGTATATTTATTTAAATTTATATTTCTACAAATATTTTTAAGCTAAATTCTGTTGAATTTTAACCAACAAAGTTTAGCCAAAATGTTTATTGAATTAGGATAATATTTCACAGAGTATTTTTCTTCAATTTTCAATTGAAGAGCCCTCAATAGATAGGGTTTATTTATAGATATCCATATGTATGTACGTGACCGACAACAGTTCCACAAAAAAATGTGATTACTACCTATAAAAAACGTGTGTATATTCATGATAATTCTTTCATGCAATAAACATTTTTTACGTTTTTTATGGCACTGGTTAATGGCAGTGTTCTGTTTTTTGGATTTTTTGGGCTTAATTTTTTCAATTCGGAGACCAGTTTCAGTCTCATTACAATGGGAAATTGGGCATTGATAATGTTATCTGGTTGTCATGGCAAAGATATGATATTATTGTACTGATTCGTGACTAAGAAGATTGCCTTACACATCCTGAAATTTTTATTTGCTACTTGTAAACCCCACAACTCATCACAAAAGGGGGGAAGTTTATTTTATTTTATTTTATTTACTTGCATGAGCAATTATTGTTTACAATAATTCTGTGTGCTGGGGAATCTTGAGTGAGTTGCCACAGTCTGTCTTGTGCTTCCCATTTTTTTAGCATAAATTAACCATTATGTTCTTTTTACGCGTCATCTTTCTGTGTTTAATGATAATTTATTTTGCTTTTATACGCTTTCAGAGGGTATGTAGATGGACAAAGGGTTTTTTTTTGTTATCTTAGAGGAAAAAGTGGATATTTATTTGTTCAATAAATAAAAGATAACCGGGTGGTGCGTCTGCAAAGTGATTCCAAGACGCAAAAAGGTTGAGGATGACCAGCAACAGAGAGGAGAACTGGGAGAGCAAGAGCTTTCGTTATGCAAACAAATGCCCGTTTCTTCTTTTTACATAGAACTTGACTACTATAGTATATGCATATGACATACATAAATATGTATGTACGTAAGCACTACGCCGGACAACGACACTCTAAATGAACAGAACGTAAGTGGACACTGATAAGACACACGATACAGTAGCCCAGTGGTCGTGGGTGGGCGGCTTTACAGATAACAGAACCAACAACAAGAAGCGAACAGGGAACAGAGGTAATTTGCTAATACATATATTTCCAGTTATTAAATTGAATTCAAATTACAAACAAAACACAGGCAGACGCCACACACACACCGACACTCAGACGACTCTCGTACGTTGATTGCTCTCTCTCCGCAAAAAACGGAATAAAAACGGGTCGTGGAACTGTACAGATAAATCAATTGAATGCTTAGAATTTGCTCAGACTGAAATGTTAATATTCATTTGTGAACCGTACGTTCGCGTGTTGTAATGCTCTTTCCTTTTCTAATGGCTTGGCATTGATTTCTATTTCCCCCCTTCTATTTTTTGTTTCTGTTGGCGAATTTTCTATTTTCGTGATCAACACACCGTCCACTCCTCCGGTCGGGTTGTGCTGACCACTTGGCTATGGTAAAGTGCTAACATTACAAATTAACAGCCACAAGGTCGGCTGTCGTGTAATTAAGTCTCTTCAATTATTAAACTGCATCATTTAGTAACATTGTTGTTATCATTGCCTCTCTCTTGGCACTTTAATTGGATTTCTAGCCGTTTTACGGATACATCTAGCCATTTGTGATTCAATGGTTGGCATCGCTAGTCACTAAAGGCAAACACTTTGCCGCTGACGCAGACAATTTGTAACACAGTTTAGATACGAGTTTAACGCGCAAGTCACTTGTCACAGTCGAAGAAACCCGCATTCCGCATTTTCGATAATCAAATTAAGCCAATTGTAACTTTAATTAAATTAGTCATTTGCTAAAGTTGCAAAATAAATAAAACACGTCCTTACATTTCCCAGAATAATTTGTTTTAATCGTTTTAATCTGTTATCGGAGGCAGTGTGGTGTAGCGCTTACAGGTGGCACAGCTGTTCGAGCCAAACATAGAGATGACTGAATATGCGATATATATCGCACTGGAATACCAGACTGTTTGTTATTGTTATTGTTATAAATACTGTTATTTTTATGAAATTTACCTAATTTCTACACAATTGGACTAGGTTCCTTTGGGGGGGACCACTGCTATGAGTGGTACTCCAGAAAAGCAACTGCGTCCGAAGTTATATTAACAGGGGTATGGATTTTTGAGGCAACTTCCATTTTGTTAGGCGTGAGAAAGGCTGTAGCTTCTGACGGCGGATGAGCATAAATCGGCGAAGGTTGGGCACTAGGAGTAGCGATGAGTCCATCGGTTGTAGGTGAGAATTTATAAAAATAAATAATATCAAAGAATCGGTGATTAGGTGTAAGAAAGATGTAATTCCAATGTAGAAACAAGAGTCTAGCCCCAAATATGTTGTAAAGATAGAAGAACTGTCCCCAAACCACTCCGAGATTATAATATTTACTTATGTTTCCTTTCTCTCTCAACAAAAGGGAAACGGATTAAATTATTGGTTCTGTGTTCAAAGTCTTTGCAAGCTAGTAATATCAATGAGAACATCAAAATCGAGGAATATGATTTAAGACTCCGATATATTTTTTAAATGAGAAGGTATTTTTTGTATTTTTTTGGGGATTGTGCGGTATATTCATCGTTAATTCCGCAGCCACACTGATTGAATCCTTTGATTGAAATTGATTTTGTAGGAACGGGGGTTTTGGGGATAAAGCATGCATTGATATGAGAGTGTCACGATGTCGATATCAAAATTATTCGTAAAAGTATTCAATGAAAACATCTTTGACCAACTGGATCAGGAGAATCCCTATTCAGACCTCGACGATGACTTGGAAGGAGCCAATTGTTCCACGCTGCCGGAATCGAAGCCGCTCAAGATTGACGAATTGTCTGTGTCAAAGTAAGTTGTTCTTTTAAAATGAAACTGCTCCTTTCCTTGCTGATCCTGTGCATATCCTTGTGTGCAGGCAAATGACCATCGTCAAGACCTGGCTGGACGACAAATTTCAGCAAATTCAAACCGACAGCAATGAGGAAATTCGTCGCCTTTACGCTGAGACAGAGTCCCGCATTGGACCGGATCTAACCATATTCGATGTGGACTACACCACAACGGTGCGCGTATCCTCGGACCGGCTGGCCCTTCGCTCCCAAGGCAGCTTCAATACGGTGCGAACAAATTGTTGCGTTTATGGCGGCCGTTGGATGTATGAGGTAATCTCTATTTAGCGGTCAATGACACACACCACACGCGATGTGGCGAGGAGTGTGAGTTGCACGTGCGCACGTACTGACTAACTTGACCTTCTTCACAGGTTCAACTTCACACCAAGGGAGTGATGCAAATGGGCTGGGCCTCCAGCCTTTGTCAGTTCAATGAAAATAGCGGCGTCGGTGATACCAAATTGAGCTACGGCTACGATGGCAGTAAACAGCAGATCTGGCACATATCCACCAAAAAGTATCAAGAATCTTTTTCCATGTTAAATGGTAATTTGAAGGCAAACTTTCCTCCTGCAGATATGGCGACAAATGGCAAATTGGGGACATAATTGGTGTGACACTCGATGTGGACAAGGAGCTCATTGAATACTATCGTAATGGTCGTTCTATGGGCGTGGCATTCAACAAGCTGGAGAAGGGTCCGGGCATAGCGTTCTATGCGGCCATCTCGCTGGGCTACACTCAGGGCATTCAGGCGAACTTTGGCAATCGTCCGTTTGTCTATCCAGTGCCAGGATTTCAGCCTTTGATGGCACGGCCCATCCTGAAGCTGCGACGCGCCAATCTGCTGATGAACTACCTCACAAACCTCGCAGGCATTTTCGCCAAATACAATGCTCAGTACAAGGCCTCGGCGAACCAGAGCGAAGCTCGTGTGTCCACCAAAAAGACGGTTTACTGCATCTTTGCCACCATGCTAATTGAACGCTTTACCAACGAGATCTTCGACTCGTACATCATTGAGGATGTGCTGCTGGCCAGGATTTCCAGCATGACCAGCCTCACAGCCGAAAAGGAGAATCCGCACAGTGTGCTGCAGGGTCTGCTGTCGCTCTTCTGGAACTTCATGGAGGGTGACGAGATCAAGTTTGTGCTGCGCAAGATGGTGAATGCGCTGCTCTCCACATTTACGCACACGGTACAGGGCCTGGACTATGAGAAGCATCGCCAGGCGCTGGCCATGCTGCACTGTCTCTGCCTGAATGAACAGACGCGGAAGTTCCTACTCGAGGGGAAGCTTTTCAAGAAGCACTGGTGAGTGGTGCAGGCCATCAAAATGCAACCTTATCTAATGCTATGCCAACTTCTCCTATTCCCAGCATTGCATTCTTCCTGTACATTCATCCGCTGGAGTTCTATATTATGGAAGAGCTGCTGCCCGACTACATGGCCTGGACGGAGGGCATCGATGGGCCCAAGGAAAAGTATCTGGGCATTGTGGAAAAAGTGCGCAAGGTGACGGAGCCACTGTATGCCGCTCAAAAGGATTTTCTCAGCACGCTGATGATCAACAGAGACGGCACGCCTACCAGTCCCTCCAGTCGCACGCTATTCCTGGCCAAAATGCGTCGCTATGTGATCGATCTGAGCATGGAGCAGCGGGTACGACGCTTAGTCTTTAATTTAAGTGTAATTTACTTTACTTCCGTTGTGCTGGCAGCCCTTCCATGCTTTCTTTTTTATGCAGTCGAGCATTCAGCATCCCCTAGACGCTCCGGTGGCTCTGGCCTTTGTCTGCATTCTGATCGATCAGTCGCGCAACATGTTCAGGGAGGAGCTGCCCGGCAAGAATGTAGAAGTGAATGCGGACTACTTTTTCGATGGCACCTTCGACTACATGCACTTTGATCGCGTGGGCGGTGTCCTCTCGCATTTGCGCAAGGTTCACCGATCGGACATTGATGCGCGTCTGGGATCGGTGCGCACACAGCAGATTTATGATGAGGATCGCAGTAATTCGAGAACCAATGAAATGGGTAGGTGTTGTCTTCGATATAAGACCATAACGACTTACCTTTTGATTCACCACTTGCTTTGCAGACACCACTCTCTATCTGCTTGGTGAGAATGTCCACAATGTGGCGGTGATTGGACACACGCAGGGCACCAACAACACCACCTTTACGCACTTTCTCAATCCGCGCACCAATCAGGGTGGCGAGGCAACGCCCGGCAATGCCGATGCTGAGGCCAGTCTCTGTGAACTCTTGGATCTGTGCATCATTTTCTACTACTCGGCGGGGCACAAGTATATTGTGAAAATTGCCTCAGTCAGAGATGAGATTGCAGCGCTGAACGATGTGCTCAAGGAAACGAAATACTATCGCGAGGACGTGGAACGCAAGCTGCTGGCTCTGGAGCAGCATGCCAATGTATGCATGAATGATGGCCATCAGCATGTAATGGGAGAGCTGCGTGCCAAGTTTAGTCAGCGTCAAAATGTTTTTGCGGTGAGTGGCAGGCAGGGCAAAGCATTCAAGAGAGATCTAATCAAAGTTGTATTGCCCTGCAGACCCGTTCCATTTCGCTATCCAGAAAACAAATCTGGCTACGTGGCGTGGCCTTGAATAACCAGCGGCGTTCGCTGCTCATTTGGATGCTGGAGCGCATGATACGCACACTGACGGTGAGCCTTTTTGGAATTCCATCTCCAGCAGCTTTGACTTTACTTCCCTCTCTTCTAGAACGCCTCAAACACTGGCCCATTGTTCGCCTTTGTGCCCGAGGTGTATGTGAATACGTTGCCCATACTGCTGGACGCTGTCATGGACTTTAGTCATCACGATATGAAAGCTCAGTTTGAGGCGACGGATTCCGAGTGCGCTGTCACTTCGGCAGCAGAATTTCTCGGCGTACACTCGGCGGATCCGCGTATTGTGCTTGCCTCCTGCAAGGACTCACTGCTACAAGCCCTGGGCACACTCACCTGCCACAAGGCTGGTGTGCGAGCCCTGGAACGTTCCTCGCGCAAGTCTCAAGTGGCCCTGGTGCGTGCCCTACTCCGGCCGTACGAAAACCGCGCCTGGGGCCAGAGCAACTGGCTGTTGTTGCGCTTCTGGATGGGCGAGGGCTATGCGTACAAGGACTCCCGACAGCCCTGTGTCTGGCAGGGCGGCTCGTTGCCGCTGCACATGGGTCTGTGCCGCAGTCGCTCAAAGAATGAGACGCACACGGGACTGCTGCACAATGTGGCACCCGCCAATCCATCGAAGCATTTCCAGCGCCTAATTGGCTCCAAACTGATTGAGGATGAACCATTTGCCACCAGTTTTCTCAACTCTGTGCTGAGTCAACTTAATTGGGCGTTTTCGGAGTTTATTCTGCTGCTGCAAGAGGTAGGAGGCAACAGATAATCTCTTTGCTTTGCTTGACTCTTTACGCTGTTCTTTGACAGATACAAAATACCGCACAGCGTCAGGAGAACACACTGTTCGAGCCCAAGCAGCTGAAGATCTGCTCCATGTGCTTTGAATTGACTGTCTCGCTGATGCGCTGCCTGGAGATGATCATCACTGTGGCGCCGGAGATTGTTACAGATCCTTCGCGGCCGAATAGCGATCTGCTGTTGAATCGCATTTGCCAGTTGATCAGTCAAGTGCTGTCGCGGGTCACAGTGCCGCCGGGCTGCTTCCAGTTTGTGGTGGACATGTGCTCGGCCGATCTCAATGCGGTGACACACTTTCCCATTATAACAGCCGCCTTGGGCATACTGCTGGCGCTCATGCGCAGTGAAATGGATGTTGATATCACACCGCAAAAGGTGACGCGTCTGTCGCGCGCTTTCCTCACCGATCCCAGCTTTCAGTTTGCCACGCTGGAGTTTGCCTTGGGCGAGATACGTACGCCGCTGCTGGAGCAGAAGGATATACCCCGCGGGAACTTCGATCCGTCTGCCAGGCCGCACATTGATCCGCTTACCAACGATTTACGGGTGCCGTTTCCCACCAACTCCAAGCGCATACGTGCCGATCCGCCCATCATTAAGTTTGCGCTAACAGATTGTGAGTAGATCAAGTCGATCAGGAGGTGCCAAATCTTTACTCCATCTTCCACACAGTTCCGACGCACGTCAACTCCGAGGAAATTGACAATATACGCCGGCTCATCGACGGTCTGCGCATGAAGCAGACGCTGCTGTCGGACATCACTTTACCCTCGGAGGACTCGCTGTGTCCCATTTGCTGCGCCAAGCCCATCACCGCCGTTTTTACGCCCTGCAAGCATCAGTCCTGCAGCGACTGCATCATGCAGCACATGATGAACTCCAAGGTGTGCTTCTACTGCAAGACGACCATTCACACGATTGAAACACTGGATGGCACGCTCATCTACTCCAACGAAGATGTCATGCAAACGCCCATGAACGAGCGGGCATAAGGCGCAAAAAACTCAACCCACCGAATCGTAAACCAAAGAAAACCCCCAACCAAGTCTAGTCACTGTTAAAAGACAAAACCTGCTACGCTTAAAGTGTATAAATGACACACACACACTTACATACAGATAAATTATTATTCCTTCAGTTAGAATATTATTTTTGGCTTAGATGCTTGCAACAAATAAGTTAAGATGTGATATGCCCCACAAAATAAAGTGGGCAAAATAACAATTGATTGACAGTAAATTAAGTAGCACAAAATATCAATTTTATGATCTCTGTTTCTATACCTATGTAAATCTCAATGTCAACTCTATGCTCAAAGACTATTTAAAATAACATAATCAGTTTCAATGCATTTATGTGGGTTAAACAAATGAATCTGTAAGAACGTATTCTCGAAATAAGTAATCTATACATATAAATGGAAAATGTTAGTGCAACTTCTGGCAAGGGAATCTAAAAAGTATTATAAACCAAAAGCATAAAAGCTAAGACAGTGTCTTAAATGCATATATTTTCAACCAAATTGTTTTTAAAGCTTTAAATTTTGTTGTATTTTATGTGCCATAAACTCGTTTAAAATTATACTATTAGTTGTATACATTTTCGTAATTCACGAAAAGTTTTAATACTGTCAGGAATGTAATTTGATCTCATTTTACTTTATCAAATAGTAGACTTTGTTATCAACATTTTAATGTTTTAAAATCTACCAATGAAAATTTAAATGCACCATAGAACCTTGTGGACCTCTGCTCTGAAAACTTATGGATCTAAAACAAAAATTCCATAGGTTTTTGGGGGCTGAAAACTTATGAAAATAAAACAGAAATTCTAAACGTTTTTGGAGCCTGAAAACTTCATGAAAATACACACACTACAACGGATTTCAAAGCCTGAAATCGCATGGAAAAATTAAACAAAAATTCGATAGGATTTCGGAGACATTTATTTAATAGGCGGTGTACACATAAAAACTACTCCTTAAACATGTAACTACTACAAATATATATATTATATATATGATAAATATATATAGAGTTTTATAATACATACATATACACATACATATATAGAATATATTGTAATATACTTGAGCAAGACCTTGCCTCAGGTGGTATCATGATGATGCGTGAAGAAAAGCCTTACAGTATACAATATTTTGTGGTTCATTTGTTAAGAAAATAGTTTGTTCTGAGTGTGTTGTGTGTTGTGTGTGTGTATATATTTCCTTTGTGGTATTGTCATATTTGAGAGGTCAAAGTAGAGTAGTTTTGAAATCCGTTTGTTCAACATTTAGTTGGTTATTTCATATAACAATTTATACAGTTCGCTTTAGCATATTTTAGACATGGAGCTGCCAATGTGTTAAAGGCCTGTTTAACTAGCTAACGTGGGGTTTTGGTGTAGGATACATCCTAATACTTTTCTCTATGCTATGAGTATCAACAACTAACTAAAATCTAATAATTGCCAAACTATTCCGTCACTGGACCACACGCCAGGGAACATTGAGCCACATCGGGAATCGTAATCAGAATCAGTTTGTATACATGATATGAATGTGAAGATGAGCTCCAGGACTATTCCTCTACAATATCCTGCAGGCATTCGAGTGCATGCGATGCGAGTGTCTGCCATTGCCATGACCAAAGCCGCTGCAGCACTGATGGACACGCGGACTGTGCTGAAAACTCTGGCTGTTGCTCATCTTTGGCTCCATGTGATGGCAGCTGGGCGCATGGCTGTGGCTGCAAGCAGTTTATCAATCAATCAATCAAGCAAATCAATCCATATTTTATGCTCACCCATGATTGCAGATGCTCGAATCTGATACGGAGCCAGCCATGAGGCGCTGCTGCTGCTGTGGCGGCGGTGGCAGGAACAGTGGACAACCACCGGCAGCCATATCCCCGCCATTTTCTCCCCCGCCATCATGTCCAAACACAGCCAGCCGCATGTTGGCCGCCTTCACCGCCGACTGGGACTCCACCTCGTGCACTTCTTCGATCATTTTGTCCAGCTTCTCCATGGCCTTGGTTTGCTTGGCGGCCAGAAAGGCCTTGCGCGCTGCCTTCGACATGGAATGGGGTCTACCACGAGAGTCAAGGATGAGCTTAGATATTTGTGTAGGACTTGGAGAGGAAGGACCTCACCTTGCTGGCGCTGACTGCGCTCGATGCGGCGGCGGTGAGTGCAGCGAAATGGATGAGACCGAATCCTTGGAGCCGGGTCGCTTGCCATGGCTGCTGCTCGCCTGCACTGGCACCACTAGCGGCGCTGTGGACACTGTGGCCAGCTGTGGCGACTTGGCGCGCATCGGACACACCACAGCGGATATGGCAGGCGGGGAGGGTGCCTCCAGGCTGGCGCTGTTGGAGAAGGTGATTTTCCTATACAAAAAGTGGAGCTGCAACGAGCGTCGATCCCCTGTGTACCCCCAGGACTTACTTGAGCTTTGTGGTCTTCTCCCGGTCCAGCGAGGCGTTCGATGTGGCGCTCTTCAGACTGGCACTGCTGCACGTGGCCGTCTCCCTGGCCGGAGCTGTCGATGGTGGCGTCATCTGGTCCATGGCCGCCAGCTCCTCGGGCGTAAACTTGTCCGGATTGCTGGGCCGCGGCTTGGGCGGTGCACTACCAATGCGAAACGGTGGCGTGGGACTAAACCCGCACTCTGCCGGCGGCTGGTTGTTGTTGTTGTTGTTGTTGACCAGCGAGCCGCGAGAGATTTGCAAATCCTCGAGAAACTCCTCAGTGTCGAGGATCAATGAACCGAAAATGTCCGACGGGGAACGCATAAAGACGTGGCCCGTGGAGTTGGAGCGTGAGTCGCGACGCTTCTCCTGATCGGTGTAGGAGTACCCACCGCTGTGCCTCACCGGCGAATTGGCAATGCTGCGACGTGCCACGTCCTTGAACGTCACTGGGGAGTAGATGCGACTGCTGCGATCGTCTGCCGTGGCAGTGGCTCCACCAGCTGCAGCTCCCGCTGTTCCCGTGCCATGATGATGCGTCAGATGCGCCGCTGCTGTCATGGTATTTGTGGCTGTCAGCACCACACCAGACATGCTGGCATGCTCCACAGGCAGCGCAGGGGCAGCTGCAGCTACGGGCACGGGCACTGCCACAGGCAGCGGCACCACCATGGGCGTCACTGGCTTCGAGGGTGCCGGCATTATGGCCTTGGCACTGGCTGCCATCGGATGCATCAGCAATCCAGTGGCCAGCTGCAGCGGCAAACGATTCTCGCGCTCCTCCAGCCAATAGGTGGCCATGGTGCCCTTGCCCTTGACATCAATCTCCCCACGCTCCAGTATCTTGTAGCTGGGGCCAATGAGGATTTTCGTGGACTCTGAAATGTGCACCTTCATGGCAATGCTGGTGGACTCCATGCGCGAGGCGGTGTTGACAGTGTCCCCAAAGAGGCAATAACGTGGCATCTTCAGGCCCACAATGCCAGCCACAACGGCACCAGAATGGACACCAACACCTGCAAGGAAGGACATTGAAAGGCGTTCAGGCTGCGCGACTTTCACTTACGTATTCTCAAATGCTGTCCGGTTGAGGGATCCTTCAGATCAGTGATGGCATCCACCATATCCAGCGCCATATCACAGACACGCTCCGCATGATTGGCATCCTTATCGGGTGCGCCAGCCACCACCATATAAGCATCCCCAATTGTCTCCACTTTGTACACAGAATTCCTTTCCGTGAGCTTATCGAATATTGAGTACATGGCATTCAGCATGGAGACCACCTCCATGGGTGTAATGCGACTGCAAATCTCGGTAAAGGTCACAATATCCGAGAAGAGTATGGAGACGCTGTCAAACATCTGGCAGGAGTTGGGAGGATCACCGTCAATCTCGTTGTAAGTTCATCTTGATCTGTGTTGACTCACCTCACAGGTATCTATGGGATTCTCGCCACGGCGCAGACGATCTGCCACTTGTTTGGGTATCATCTGATAGAGCAGCTCATCGGTGCGACGCATTTCCTCATCCAACTGGGAAAGCAAAAAAAAAAGGATAAGAAAATTTCGCTTTAACTTTGTGCTCCTGTTTGACACCCACCAATCTCATGGATTCCTCCAGCTTCTTGGACTTTTGCTGCTCCTGATCCAAGGCCAATTTCAGCTCCACCGATTGCTGTGTGCCCGCCAGCATAAGATCTCTGCTAAAGTCATGCATGGACAAATCATTGATATAGAGCCCGGTGGTGATCAAAGACGTCAAATCCGGCATGACGGGTGTGCCCAGGAACATGATCATGCGCCAGTTTTCCATGTAAACCATTTGACCTATGTCATAACAGAGAGAGAGAGAGAGTGCTGTGACCTTTTACCATAAATCATGGTCCATGTTTACCCTTCAATCTCAGTGATTTTTCGGGCTCACTGCCATCGTCATGCAGCAGCAAATCATCGTTCTGGGCATCCATGCGCTCGGTAACCGGATCCACAGTGACCAACTCAAAAATGTTATTGGTGCGATTGAGTATCTGTGAGAGGTAGCAACGTATAGAGTGTGCTTATAGACATTTTTGAGCAATGTTTTCCTTCACTTACTGTTTGGAATTTGAATGCAATCAGCGGGCGCACCAAATCAAACCAGGCTGTAATTTTCTTGCCCAACAGTTCGGGCAAAATGACCATCAAAGAGTTGCCAATGCTGCGCACAACCATGTCAGCGCTGCAGTGGGATTAAAGAACAGTACAATAAATAATAAACCAAACAAAAAACGAATCAAAACTTTACCCAAAGACAATGCAGAAAGGGAATATCTCAAAGAGCACATGAGCACTGATGGGCAGATGCTTCTCCTCGCGTGTCATCGCCAAGGATGCGAGCGTGAAAGCACGATTATCAAAGGTCAGCTGAAAGGTCACGTGCACCGTATCGAAGAGTATCTCCTCGCGCACCAACTCAATGTGCATCTCCTTGTGATAGAAATATCTGGCCACCTCACGTATCTGCCCCATTGTGTAGTAGACAAATCCACGACGCTTCGATCGATAATGCAGCGTCAGACCCTGTTTGGTTTCGTTTTCACAAATAAAACTGGGTGCACGCATGCGAGGATACGAGAACTTTAGGTACTCATGCAGATTGTCCAGACCATTGAGAAAGTCACGCATGTGACGACCCAGCACAGACAGCACACGATCGTAGCCATATTGACCGACAAAGCCCACGAAATATACACCCATTTGGTCCATGAATTCCCGCTCAGAGACCCCAAGAACCTAAGGAAAGGGAAGTTAATAGTATTTGTTAATATTTATTTCCTGTAAGCGTTAATTGTTGACGCACCTGTTGTGCCTTTTTGGCTAATTTTTGTAGCAAATTCTCTGGATACACTTGATGCACGCTGAATGATGGCGAATCGATGCCCGCCTGCCTTCGGATGTCCTCCCATTTCTCCTCGCCATAGACGGACTTGATGTACTCGGAGAGATTCTCCAACAGCAGGCCGTACATGTTGGCAACGGGTGGGGTGGGGTATAGGCTGCCTCGGGCTCCTTCACTTGGCTGACATTGAGTGCGAAAACTGTTAGAGAAGAAACTTAATGTTAGTAGTGGAAAAATAGCTTTAAGTTTGCAACAATTTCTGCTCATTCCAGACACAGATTCCCCAGCGAATTTCGCCCTTTTTATAGGAATTTTTTGGCATACTTTTCTGCCCTGTGGGCACCAGTATGACCGCACAACTGTGCGAATTTTTGTGTGTGTCCCCACCAATTGGAGGCCCGAAATCTTTTCAAAAATTGATTGTTGATGTGCTCTGCCGCGTCTTTCTGTTGATTTTTCGTGTCAACGATGCGAATCTTGCTACCAACCCCTGAGCCAAATGTCTCGCCGTGGCTTTCAACGCCTCTTTTGCTGGCTTTTTTGTGGCCAACAATTACCAGGGTCAGTGGGCAGTCGTAGTGGAGCACGTTTAGGGCATTAATTTGGCTGGCATTTGGCAGATGAAGTGCCAGAAAAGATAATTACACATCAGCCAACGAAATAAACGAAATCATTTCGTTGGCTATTCATTTTTGACAGGTTCATTTCTTTGTGTTTTTTAATAGGAAGGGTCATCTGGGGCATTCATTTTCGTTCGATAAATAGCAGAGTAGCAAGCAAAATGTGAGCAGAAATAAATTAAAAATTGTTTGAATCGGGAGTTTAAATGCATTCATGTTTAAATACAAATAAATATAAATTTGGTTGCATTTTTTATTTAATATTAAAATCGTTGCCCTGCTTTAACTCTCTTTAAAAGAAAATTCAATTACATTTCATACGCTTTTCAGCCATTCAGCTCAGTCTTCCTGCTGCTTGCCTGCCCTTTAAGTTCTAGCAACGAGTGCGCATAAGCCCTAGCAAATTAGTCTTCAACCCCACCAAAATCAATAAGCCATAAAGTACTTTCAATTAGTGGCAATAATTACATTATACATGACACATACATACGTGTACATACAACATGTGGCAAGGCGCCACTCCACTTCGTTGCAGCTTGCAAGTGAAAGAGAGGGCAATAATGGCAAGAAAAAATGCCATTAAATCGTTCACTTAGCAAAAAAAGAAACCCAAGTTCTGCGAAGACTCTGGAGTTCATTATCCTTGGGCCCTTGCGACTGTAATTGCCTGTGGCCCAAGTGGCTGTGGCTGCGGACTGGTTCTGGGTCTGCTTTCTAGTTTCTGGGCACTGTTAATTTAGTCCAATTCCAATTGAGTTGCACTCGTACATGGCCGACAATTAAGGGCGGCCGGGGACAATTGCTATTTATTTGCTCTCCGACTCTGTCTCTCTCTCTCTCTTTCTATGAATCTGGGCTAATTGAATTGCATTAGAAGCCATGCAGCACCTGGCTCTGTCTATGGCTGCGTCTAAGAATAAATTGCATTTGCCACTGAGACACTACGAACTCCTTCAGGGCTTGCGACACGTTGCAAATGAATAGCATTTTGGTTAGCATATGTTTCCTTCCTTCGCTTTGAATGGAGGGCAATCCGCATATGTTCATCTCGGTTGCCAGCCCCACAAGTCAATTTGTCAACTGTTCGTAAATTGAGTCATGCACTCGACTGCACTCGTTTGGGAATCTATCCACACTCCAGCGTCTTGGAATAACCACCAACTAACAATTGCAGCAAAATTACACACCACACACAGGAGGCATATGAGGCATACGTTATGAGTTGAGACTAAGCTGGCAATCTATTCAGGGTCTCCGTTGGGTTGCCTCACCCTTTTAGGGTTTCCTTTTGGATTCCTGGCATTTGGCTTATTTGCCATTTGTTTTGTCACAAAAGTCATTTCATGCGCTTTGAGCAGAGCTTCACCCCATTATCCCCATTCGCATATACCATAAATTTCAAGCTGGCAAATCATCGGCTACAAAATCATAAATTTATGCATATCTGGCAATTTATTTAAATTTTTCTATGGCTTCAGCGGACAGCAGTGGCCCCAGCTGCGATCTCATTGTGACAAATGAATATTTGTTGGGATTTTGTTTGAGGTTAGCTAAAGGTTTATCAGAATTTTATGGCTGTTTTAAGGGCTTTTACGGCATGATTAGATAGGTAATTGCAGCTATTAGGTATGGAATTTAGAGTTGTGGTGTTTGTTTTTGGGATGTTATTTGGTTTTTTTTGGGAGTTTGAAACATTTATTTTGTGTGTACAAATTCTAAGAGAATTCCTATACAAGCAATTAATTCATTTCTGGGTTAACTTTTGACTGTCTAAAAGACATAGTTGTATTTTCCCAGCTGAAGCTTATCCACTTGCATTCTGTTTTACACACAAATTTAAAACTTTTTATCCAAAGATACCAAGAAAGTTCTCCCCATTGTCAAGAAAGTAGTTGACTCTTAAATGATGTTTCCACAAGATTCACTGCATCCCGATTTACTTGTTAAACTGCCACACAAACAAGTGACCTCATATGCTAGGAAACCGAAACTTTATTTCTTGTTTTGCAGCCCAAAAAACTGTATATTAATATAGTATTTCATATAAACAAAGAAATCGGACTGGGATGTCTTGACGTCAACTTTCATGAATCTATTTTGCTCCAATCCGAATTTAAATGTTTTGTGTGTGTTTTCTATTTTCTAGCTCTCACATAAATACATAGATAAATCTTTGTGATATACTAGAGCATTTGTAGAGTGAAGAATATGCTCAAAAATATTTATAAAACACAATCATGTGTGAGAACTATAAGAGTGCTCAAACACACAAAGTACAAGAGATAAAAAATAGTACAACAAAATTAAAGCAGCCAAAAAACTAGACGGAAAACAGAAAAGAAACTGAAAGTTGTGACCTTCCAAGAATGGAACATTGGTCAGTAAACAGAAAAAATATATATTATATAGCCGCAACAGTTGTGCCAAACATATCAAAACAATGTCAACCATGGACCGAACAGACTTGAGTAATCATATAGACATTATTTTAAGTTTATATATCTTTTTATTACATATTTGTTTTGGGGTTGGCCCTCTGGCTCTTGCCCGTCGTTTCTTTCGTTTCATGAATGGAATGCAAAGTGGAATATATACGCGTTTGTGTGGATATAACAGTTTTGTATACTTTTAGAGTCAAAAATAATAAACAGGATGTACAATTTGTAGCTGGTGTGACGTCAGCAGGCTATTGATAAATGCATGACTGCTGCTCGCAGAGAGGAGGCGGCTGTTCCCCCAGGGGATGGCCACAGACTAACTGTTAATGGCTTTCCAATGAGCGCACTGTTTAGGCCGAAAATATTTTTAGCACCCAGAACTTTTAACTCAAATTGTCAGCAATAATGTCGCAACGAATTGGCATAAACGTGGGCAGCATTTGCCTGTTTTGTCAGTTTTTTTTTTGGCCTCATCAATCCATCCATCATCTGTGAACAGCTTCAAGGTTAGATCTGTGCAATTTCCATATAAATAGGTTTTTTCTTTTGAAATGCATTGACCCTGTGTGTCCTTGGGATTTGGTTGAATCAAATTGGTGCAGGAAAATTGCTAAAAAATATACAGAAAGCTGGCAAACACTCAGACAGAGACTGAGATAATTTAAGATTTTTAAGAAACAAATCTATACCGTCTGGAGTAAAATTTTAATGAAAATATAAACAAAATTGTTGCCATATAAATTATGGAAGGCATTGGGGGCATAGGTATATATGTACATATGTATATAAGTAGCATCCTCTGGTTATGTATCCACAGCCTCTTCCACCCTGCAATTGCGAGTGGGGCGGAACAATTAATTTTCAAGTTCATTTGCGTGGGTCGATGTCGGAGCTGATCAGACCCTAGCTGGCCATAGTCTGTAGATACTGAACGCATACAGATCATGCGAGAGAGAGCAGACCACAGACATGTATCTCGTGTGTACGTGAATATTTATTTTTATATTCAGAGAAAATTCATTTGAAGGTGTCTGCTATATGTTAAGGTTAAATATCATTGTATATACACACGCTTGGAAACTATGTGTTAGTGGGTATTTATGTGCACATAAACGCACATCAGTATTCTATATTAAACAGCATAAATGTAGAGTGGGAAGCTGGAGCTGCTAGAGAGAGCTTTTTTCAAGCAATAAAAAATATTATGCTGTGTTTAATGAGTCCCCAGCTGAGGGAGAAACTAGAAATTTCAATTTAGATAACTTAGAGATGTAGTTTGAGCAGAGAACGTGTCTTAACAAGCAAAAAAAAGGGAGAACAAACCAGAACAATTCAAAAATAAAGTGCACAAAATATAAAAAATAAAATAATTTAAAAATCCAGCTCGGTAATTAAATACAGCGAATTAAATACAGCAATAAATTATTGCTCTATGTTGTTAGCTCTGCTTAATCCCAAAATATGTATTACATCAAACACTAAAATTCCGCTTCCTGTATAAATCTTTTTCTCGGTTATCCTAAATTACTTTGCCATTAGCTGTCCATCAAGCAAGTAGTTCCGCACACAAATCGAATGTTAACGAATTTTAGTTGTATTTTTTGGTTGCAGCCACAAACACAACAGCAAAATGCTCATAATCAGGGCTTTTGCCAATAATATTATATGCTTTTGTTGTTGCTGTTGAATTGCTAATCTGCTATGACTCAAAATGTATATTTGTAGATGATTTTGTGTTGTTGTTGGTTGTGTTCTGTGGTGGCAAACCGAAACAAATTGCTCATTCGTCGCATTGACATTGTAGAACTCTTATAATTGTGCTCTTAATTCAGTTATTCAGTTGCGTTTCATTTCATACAACAAAAAGCCATATACAAATTGTCCTTCACATTGGCTTTTTGGTGGGAGATTTATAAGCGTGCAAGTGTGAGAGTAATAAAATGTAGATAAATTATTGTGGGAATTTCATGCAGTCAGCCCGCGTGTCTGTCTGTGACAGCTAAATATCTTTCAGCCCCAAGATGTAATTTATAATTGAGTTGTGTGCAGTCCTGAGCAAATTGTTCGACATTATTTTGCATGTGTGCCACTGCATAATTAGCTTAATTTTTGACCTCATTTCTCAAGAGGCCACACAGGCG